TAGATATTTTTACACCTAGAAATGTTGAATTTTGTGCCCCCCAAAAACCAAAAACCAAAACATTTGTGGGAAGTTTTAATTATTTTCAAGAAAAATGCTGCTGAATATTTCAGGAAGCTTATGGTGATCATGCTCTATCTCAAGATACTGTGAACGCTGGTCTAAATGCTTTCAAAGTGATGATTTCGATGTGAAAGACAAAGTCATCCAGGTCAACCAAAAAAGTTTGCAGACCAACAATTACAAGCATTATTGGACGAAGATGTGTGTCAAACTCAAAAACAACTTGTAGAAATATTAAACATTGCTCAGTAAATAATTTCCGATCGTTTACAAGCAATGGGAAAGATTTTAAAGGAAGGAAAATGGGTGCCATGTCAACTGAATGAAAGACAAGTGGAAAACAAAAGTCATCAGTAAAATGTTGCTTCAACAGCATGGAAGGAAGTCTGGCAATGAAAAATGGATTTATTTTGAGACTCCCAAATTCACTAAGTCACGTATTGATCCAGGTCAACCATCAACATTGACTGCAAGGTCAAATTGCTTTGGAAAGATGACAATGCTCTGCATTTGTGGGATCAGGAAGGTGTGTAGTGTATTATGAACTTCTAAAACCAGGTGAAACCATTAATACTGATCTTGACTGAAAACAAATAATTTGAACCATGCTTTGATTGTGATACGACCAGAATGTGCCAGAATACATGGCAAAATAATTTTGCTTTATGATGACGCACCATCACACACTTCAAAACTAGTTAAAGACACGTTAAAAGATCTTGCCTGGGAAGTATTAATCTCCCTGCCATATTCACCAGACCGTCCTCTTTCAGATTACCACTTGTTCCAATCAATGGCATATTCATTTTTAAAATATTTATTGATTTCAGAGAGGAAGGGAGAGGGGGAGAGAAACATCGATGATGAGAGAGAATCATTGATCGGCTGCCTCCTGCACGCCCCCTTCTGGGGGGTGAGCCCACAACTTGGGCATGTGCCTATGGCTGGAATTGAACCCGTGACCCTTTAGTCCACAGGCTGATGCTCTATCTACTGAGCCAAACTAGCTAGGGCACATATACATTTTCTGAGCAGTACTTCAAAACATGAAGAAGTGGAAATTTTAGTTTCTGAATGGTTTGCCTCAAAACAAGAATTCTATTGGGATGGTATCAACAAATTACCTAAAAGATGGGGAAACATGTAGCTAGTGATGGACATTACTTTGAATAAAGCACTTTTGATGTTTCTCTTGAAATTATTGTGTTTTTTAATACAAAACCCACTATTAACTGGTACACTTAGTACAGGGTCGGTAAAAGGAAGACAGATTCACTCTTGGAAATGGTAAGTCCTTGAAGAACATGTGATTGAACATAACTGGGATTGAATAAGGCTTGGAAGACTTGGTAGAAGAGGGTTAAGGTTGGATCAGCATTTTATGGGTAGCTGGCCAAAGAAAGGACTAGCATGGGGTTCTGAGGTGTGGGGCTGATTCCCACCTTTTGGGAAGCTTACGTTTTCTCCTGGAGGCCCAAGTAGCCACATCCCTTCTTGGTAGATTACTCCCACAGCTAACCACTTGTTTTCTCCTATTACTCTGGTGACCCAGACAGAATAGGGAAATGTTGCACAGACTCAGTGAGATCCTACATACACCCCTGAAGGAGTGTGCATGGGGAATAAACTGCATTTGTGCCATCTAGGTGAGGAGATTGAGATCTTGTAGCTTTGTTCATTGTGGGTTCGTGTATCATTTTGAGTGGCACAGAACCAATCACCTTATATATACCCTCATACCTGGATCCCTGTTTGATTAACTCCCACGGGCCCTCCTCAGGGCCTCCTGTTTTGCATACTGGTTACCCCCAGCACAGCCCTGTTCTAACTAGAAATCATTTTGGTGAAAAGTATATGCAGGTTGTCATCCTACGATCCTGGTTCCCTAACAGGCTCATTAAGTGCTTTTTCTGGAGAGAGATAGTTGGCCCTTTGAACAACATGGGTTTGAACTGTGCAGGTCCAGTTAATAAGTGGAGTTTTATCAGATGACCTGCACAGTTCAAATGCAAGTTGTACAAGGGTGTACACCATGCTTTGGAATATCTGTATGTGGAGGGCTTTTTTTTTTTTTTGTAACCTTTTTGCATTTATTGGGTCACATCTATATGAAAGGCTATATGCTTCACCTGTGTTGCTATGACACACACTGACCAGCAGGGGGCAGATGCTCAACCCAGGAGCTGGCAAGCTGCAGTGACTGCAGCAGCGCTTCTCCGCGGATGTACCCCAAAACCAGAGAGGAGGGAACCCGATTCCTCGTGGGGTCATATGATTGCACCTTCAGCTGTGGCTTTGTTGCTGGGGGACTGTTGGCTCTGAATCTGGTTTACTGCACACCCTGTGCACCTGTACTATGACAGTAACTTTCAGAGTGCCCCTTCGCACTCCAGCACCCCTTACTTAGGGGATGTCAGAGAGCCGGTTTTGGTCCGATCCCTGCAGGCCAGGCCGAGGACCCCCACCTGCTGGAGAGACCCCCCCCTCCACAGATGCTGGGAGGGACCGCGGGAGGTTGGCTCCAGGGTGTGTCTGGCCAGTCTCACCCAGTTCTGCCCCGCTGGCCACCTTCTAATTTCAATGTGTACAAGTCCGTGCACCGGGTCACTAGTTGGTTAATAAAATTATATAGGTTTCAGTGCAGTTTGATGATGTATCATCTGTATATTGTATTGTGTGTTTACCAGCCCAAGTCAAATCTCTCTCCATCACCATTCATCCCCCTTGACCTTCCTCTACTCCCTCCTCCCCTTTCCCCTGTTATCACCACACTGTTTCTGTGTCAGATGTTTTTGTAATCCCCCCCAGGGTGTTTTTCCCCTCTCTGATTTTTAAAATATACTTATTTTTTTACAGAGAGGAAGGGAGAGGGATAGAGAGAAACATCAATCAGCTGCCTCCTGCACAGCCCCTACTGGGAATGTGCCCATAATCAAGGTACATGCCCTTGACTGGGATTGAACCTGGTGGATAGGCCGATGCTCTGTCCACTGAGCCAAAATGGTCAAGGCTGATTACTTTTTTTTTTCTTAGAGTGAAAGGGAGGGAACAGAGACAGAGAGAAGCACTGACTAGTTGTCTCCTGTATGTGCCCCAACCAGGGGCGGGGAGGAAACCTGCAACCAAGATGCCTGCCCTTGGCCGGAATTGAACCCGAGACCCTTTGGTCCAAGGGCTGACACTCAAACTGGAGCCGAACGGGCCAGGGCTGATGTGCTCTTTTGTATCTGTTTTTTGGGGGCTTAACCTCTTCACCTTTTCACTCAGCCCCACAGTGCCCCTCCCCTCGGACAGCAGTCAGACTGAATCTATTTTGTTTTTGTGAGGGCTGATGCGTTTTATATGTGGATTTAGGACTTCGTAGGAGGCTAGCACCTCTAACCCCCATGTTCAAGGGTCAACTGCATGTACTTATGTTTCCTTTAATTCCATCACAAGAAGAAATAGCTACTAGAATTCATAAAGTTTTGCTTTTTGGTTAGCATGTTTTCTGGGCAGCGTGTAACTATAACCCCTTCCTTCAGGGGGTGGCAGGGAGTAATTTAGCCTACTGCTGTCAGTGCCAGAAGGAATCCTGGAATTTTACTTGGTTGCTGTGATCTTCCATGTTTAGATGCTACTGTCTCCCCCTGAAAATTGCTCTAATTGTACAATTACTCTTTCCCATGGAAGATGCAAAAGAGCAGCTCTGCCAGCTAGCACCGTGCCCTAAGTTCAATGCCTCTGACACACCTGGCTCCCACAGTCCAGACCCTGTGTGCACGCCCTGTAACTAACACTGCAGGGCTGGCTGGAGTCTCAAGGGTGGACCCTCTTGGACAGCACTGGAGGAGCCACTAAATGGTAAAGGAAGGAATTTGCCGCCATGGTGACAGGCAGGCAGGGTGACAGTCTGGGGAGCCTGCTGCCCCACCCTGGAAAGGCAGTGAGCTGCACCTGAGCCTCCGCAGCCTTTAGCTGTGTAGCTGACTCTGCAGGTGCGGCCAGGCTGGAAGCAGGAAAACCCACACAAGTACAAGCTGACTTTTTATTTAAAAAACACGTCCAACCCCTGGTAGTTCCAGCTGCTGCCTCAGCGCCCTTCCAGGTCGTCCACCAAGTAGGGCTGGGTGTCCCTCAAGGCCTGAAGGAACAGATCCTTGCAGGTCAGGTTCCAGGCTGGAGCGAAGCTGAAGAGCTTCCTCATCTTGTCTTGATTGGTGGCCTCTGCCCGCACGGCCTGGTACTGCTCCTCCGACAGGACCCTCCCGTGCAGAGCGTCCAGCACGCCGCTCACGTCTGTGACCCGCCTAACGAGGGCTTCCCGGTGCCGGTCCATGAAGTGCGGGGCTGGGGAGAGAGGGGTAGAGCAGGTGAGCTGGCGCCCAGGCTGGAAACTGGGGCAGAACCCTGTTTGCTTCAGAATGGCTCTAAAAGCACCCTGAGGGGGTGGGGCTCCAGGTACAGAGTACATATATGGATGTATGATGTACATATATGGATGTATATACATCCCCCCAGCCTGGCTCCGCCCCCGTGGTGAGCAGGTGGGTGGGAGGGAAGGGGAAGGGTTGGCTCTCTCCCAGTGCAAGCGTTTAGGTGACAGGCAGGCTGTACGGGGGTGGCGGGAGCCTGGTGAGGTGCCCGGGCAGGTGAGTTGGGTGTGACGCCTCACCTGATACGGCTGCCGCCCGGAGAGCAGAGGCTTCCATCCCCGCTGGCGGCGCTCCAGAGCCTGGAAGGAAACAGAGGCAAACGCGGTCCTCTCCCTGCCTATGGGGTCTCCAGGCTCTCGGGTCCGGAGGCCAGCGGGGACCGAGCGCGGGCAGCCTCCTCCCCCCAGGAAGGGCTTCATGGGGGCAGGAGGAACGGAAAGCGAAAGAGCCCAGGGAAGGGGGTTGGGCTGGGCGGGGGGCTCCGGAGAGGGAGGGGCAGGGGCTCACCCCGGGCGCGGCTGCGGGCCTGCAGCTGCTCCGCGGCCTCCTGCATGCCCATGTCGCGCAGCAGCTGGGCGGTGAGCTCGGCGGCGTAGGCCTCCAGGTAGCAGCTCACCAGCCGGTCGGCCAGGTCCACGGCGTCCATGCGCTGCAGGGCGCCCCGCGGGATGCGAGAGTAGCCGTCGCGCATGGGCGCGTTCTGCAGCTTCAGCTTGAACTTCTTGAGCTCATCGGCCGTCAGCTCCTCCAGCGCGTCCAGGATGGCGTCCCGCGTGCCCGCCATGGCGCCGGGGTCCCTCGCGGCGACTGGGGCTCACCGGGCGGCCGCCGACCAGGAAGTCTCCTCCGGGGCGGGCCCTGCGGTTCCCGCCTTCCCCCGACGCCGCCCCGCCCGGGCCCATTGTCCTCGGTGGGAGCTAGGGCGTCCCAGTCTCTCCCTTGTGTCCCTTCTCCCGCCCCCTCCCTTCCCCATCCCCACCCTTACCCCACCCTCTCCATTTGGTCCGCAAGGTGGGACCCGGGAGACCAGCCGGGAGAGGAGGCGCTCCTGGGCGGTGCCCGCGAATCCAGGCTTGCACTAGCTGGCACGGACCAGGAACCCGGCTTACCGGTTCACCGGAGTGCCAAGGCTTCCAATCTTGGAATTCAGAAGCCCCGAAATCTCCACCTTCCCCTGCACCTTAGCATCCTCTCTCACAGCCAGAGGATGTAAGAATCAGAATCCTAACCGCCAGGACCTTGTAGCTCCCAACTGCACATACTGGGAAGAAACGAGGCATTAAAAAAAGGGAGAAGAGCTGTGTGTACGTTCTCTCTCAGCCTCTTAGCAAATATTCCAGCATGTCCGGGGCTCCCCAGGGCTCCTGAAACCTTGTCACAACTTCCGGGAGAGCCAGGCTTTGGTCCCGGGAGCCGAGGTTCTGGGGACGCGGTGAGGAGACACTGTTTATAGGTGAGAAGACGCTAGACGGGAGGGAAAGTGATGGGTGGGAGTCACTCGAGTGGTTTGCCCCAGAGGAGCAGGGGAAAGCTGGGGATTGGAGCCCAAGCTGTGCCCAGAATCCCCCTCTCGCCCTTCGCACGGCTGGTCTGGCCTGTGGATCTCCCCAGCCTGGTCTTGCACCACATCCTGTTCTCCCTCTGTCTCAGTCCCAGCCACGCTGGCCTCACAGTTCCTCAAATGTGCCAGCTCCTTCGCACCGGTCAGCCTTTGCTCATGCTGCTCCCTCAGCCTGGAAGTCTGTCCCCTCGCTCCTGCCTGATAAACTAGTTGAGACTTTAGGTCTCAAGTTAAACGCCACCTTCTCAGGGAGCCCAGGCTTAGCATGCCTCCCAGAGTAGTTCACAACACCTGCTCCTCTCTGCAGCTCTCATAGCAATGGTGACTGCACTGCGCTGACTCCATGTGTTAGCCTCAGTCTTCCCAGCCTGCACATCATGCTGTCCAATCACTGTCACAGCTGCAGCACCCAGCACAGCTCCTGCCTGTAATAGTGCTCAGTGAATCTCGTGGAATCAACAAAGAGCGAATGGGCCTGCGGCTCAGGGCGGAGACCAGGCACTGGAAGGTGTGCCTCTCTTCACAGAGGCAGCTCCCAGGAGCTGGAGAACTGTGTGGCCTTGAAGGCGGCAGTCCCTGGTTTGAATTCTGGCTCTCGTTCCCAGTTGGGGACTGGGACTCCATATATCCCTTCAGCTGGGCTGTACCAGCACCATTCCTTCTAATGATGTGATCCTGACACATTACACATCCACTTATTTATTTATTATGGTTGGCTTTCATCTCAATTCATCAGAATGTGAGTTTCATGAGTCCCGAGCCTTAAGAGAATGCTGGCACACAGTAGGTGCTCAGTGAAGAATTAGGGGTGAATGAACGAAGGGGTAAATGTAGCTGGGTCACCCACAGCATGTTGTATGTAAGAGCTTCTAGAAGGTAGCAGGGCCCTGCTCCCCATCCTTCTGTATTGTCCCACGCGGGCTGGGTAGTACCATGTGCCAACACCCTCACCATGCGTGGCCTTTGTGGCCCAACTGCCAGTGTCCCCGGCTCCTGGCTGTTTGTTATTGTGCCTCTTCATGTTTTGTGCACGGCGGCCAGAAGGCTGCATCCTCCCAGCCCACACCTGATGCTGTCCCCACCTGCTCAGCGCCCAGATTCAGGTCCAAGCTCCAGGGCGTGGCCTGGAGGCCTTTGCCAGCCTCCTCGGCAGCACCTGCCACCGTATTGACCTCTGGACCTCTGCACACGTGATACTTGCTCTCTGTCTGGCTTTTTTCTTCCTGATCTGCTGCTTGGTGGGTTCCTGCCTGTCCTCCAGCATTTGTAAATTAAATAATAATAATAATATATATATATATATATATATATATATATATATATATATATATATATATTATTGATTTCGGAGAGAAAGGGAAGGGAATCACTGATTGGCTGCCTCCTGCACACCCCACAACCCAGGCATGTGCCCTGACTGGGAATTGAGTTGTGACCTCCAAGTTCATAGGTCGATACTCAACCACTGAGCCGTGCTGGTGGCACAAGAGTCACTTCTTGTAAGAAATAACAAACATTGGAGCCCCTCTTTAGGCTGTGTTCCTTCATGTGTCTTGTTTCTAAGCCTTTCAGCAACCCCTCTGGAACAGGGAATAGTAGCCCCATTTTATAGATGAGAAACAGAAGCTCAGAGAGGTCGAAGGACTTGCCCAAGGTGATCTAGCTGAGGGGACCAGGTAGCTTGTCTGTCTAGCATCTGCCTCTGTCCCCTGTCTGCTCCTCTGTCCGCTGTCTGCTCCTCTGTCCCCTGTCTGCTCCTCTGTCCGCTGTCTGCTCCTCTGTCCGCTGTCTGCTCCTCTGTCCGCTGTCTGCTCCTCTGTCCCCTGTCTGCTCCTCTGTCCGCTGTCTGCTCCTCTGTCCGCTGTCTGGACTCTCTGTCCCTGTCTGCTCCTCTGTCCCCTGTCTGCTCCTCTGTCCGCTGTCTGCTCCTCTGTCCGCTGTCTGCTCCTCTGTCCGCTGTCTGCTCCTCTGTCCGCTGTCTGGACTCTCTGTCCCTGTCTGCTCCTCTGTCCCTGTCTGCTCCTCTGTCCCTGTCTGCTCCTCTGTCCTGTCTGCTCTCCTGCCCTGTCTGCTCCTCTGTCCGCTGTCTGACTCCTCTGTCCGCTGTCTGCTCCTCTGTCCCTGTCTGCTCCTCTGTCCCCTGTCTGCTCCTCTGTCCGCTGTCTGCTCCTCTGTCCCTGTCTGCTCCTCTGTCCGCTGTCTGCTCCTCTGTCCGCTGTCTGCTCCTCTGTCCGCTGTCTGCTCCTCTGTCCCCTGTCTGCTCCTCTGTCCGCTGTCTGCTCCTCTGTCCGCTGTCGCCCCTTCCCTGTCTGACTCCTCTGTCCGCCTGTCTGCTCCTCTGTCCGCTGTCTGCTCCTCTGTCCGCTGTCTGCTCCTCTGTCCGCTGTCTGCTCCTCTGTCCGCCTGTCTGCTCCTCTGTCCGCTGTCTGCCTCCTCTGTCCCTGTCTGCTCCTCTGTCCGCTGTCTGCTCCTCTGTCCGCTGTTTGCTCCTCTGTCCGCTGTCTGCTCCTCTGTCCCCTGTCTGCTCCTCTGTCCGCTGTCTGCTCCTCTGTCCGCTGTCTGCTCCTCTGTCCGCTGTCTGCTCCTCTGTCCGCTGTCTGCTCCTCTGTCCCTGTCTGCTCCTCTGTCCGCTGTCTGCTCCTCTGTCCCTGTCTGCCCCTCTGTCCCCTGTCTGGACTCTCTGTCCCCTGTCTGCTCCTCTGTCCCCTGTCTGGACTCTCTGTCCCCTGTCTGCTCCTCTGTCCCCTGTCTGCTCCTCTGTCCCCTGTCTGCTCCTCTGTCCGCTGTCTGCTCCTCTGTCCGCTGTCTGCTCCTCTGTCCGCTGTCTGCTCCTCTGTCCCCTGTCTGCCCCTCTGTCCCCTGTCTGCTCCTCTGTCCGCTGTCTGCTCCTCTGTCCTGTCTGCTCCTCTGTCCGCTGTCTGCTCCTCTGTCCGCTGTCTGCCCCTCTGTCCCCTGTCTGCTCCTCTGTCCGCTGTCTGCTCCTCTGTCCCCTGTCTGCTCCTCTGTCCGCTGTCTGCTCCTCTGTCCCCTGTCTGGACTCTCTGTCCCCTGTCTGCTCCTCTGTCCGCTGTCTGCTCCTCTGTCCCCTGTCTGCTCCTCTGTCCGCTGTCTGCTCCTCTGTCCCCTGTCTGCTCCTCTGTCCGCTGTCTGCTCCTCTGTCCCCTGTCTGGACTCTCTGTCCCCTGTCTGCTCCTCTGTCCGCTGTCTGCTCCTCTGTCCGCTGTCTGCTCCTCTGTCCCCTGTCTGCTCCTCTGTCCGCTGTCTGCTCCTCTGTCCGCTGTCTGCTCCTCTGTCCGCTGTCTGCTCCTCTGTCCCCTGTCTGCCCCTCTGTCCCCTGTCTGCTCCTCTGTCCGCTGTCTGCTCCTCTGTCCCCTGTCTGGACTCTCTGTCCCCTGTCTGCTCCTCTGTCCGCTGTCTGCTCCTCTGTCCGCTGTCTGCTCCTCTGTCCCCTGTCTGCTCCTCTGTCCGCTGTCTGTTCCTCTGTCCGCTGTCTGCTCCTCTGTCCCGTCTGCTCCTCTGTCCGCTGTCTGCTCCTCTGTCCGCTGTCTGCTCCTCTGTCCGCTGTCTGCTCCTCTGTCCGCTGTCTGCTCCTCTGTCCGCTGTCTGCCCCTCTGTCCCCTGTCTGCTCCTCTGTCCCCTGTCTGCTCCTCTGTCCGCTGTCTGCTCCTCTGTCCGCTGTCTGCTCCTCTGTCCCCTGTCTGCCCCTCTGTCCCCTGTCTGCTCCTCTGTCCGCTGTCTGCTCCTCTGTCCCCTGTCTGGACTCTCTGTCCCCTGTCTGCTCCTCTGTCCGCTGTCTGCTCCTCTGTCCCCTGTCTGGACTCTCTGTCCCCTGTCTGCTCCTCTGTCCGCTGTCTGCTCCTCTGTCCGCTGTCTGCTCCTCTGTCCCCTGTCTGCTCCTCTGTCCGCTGTCTGCTCCTCTGTCCGCTGTCTGCTCCTCTGTCCCCTGTCTGCTCCTCTGTCCGCTGTCTGCTCCTCTGTCCCCTGTCTGGACTCTCTGTCCCCTGTCTGCTCCTCTGTCCGCTGTCTGCTCCTCTGTCCCCTGTCTGCTCCTCTGTCCGCTGTCTGCTCCTCTGTCCCCTGTCTGCTCCTCTGTCCGCTGTCTGCTCCTCTGTCCCCTGTCTGCTCCTCTGTCCGCTGTCTGCTCCTCTGTCCCCTGTCTGGACTCTCTGTCCGCTGTCTGCTCCTCTGTCCGCTGTCTGCTCCTCTGTCCGCTGTCTGCTCCTCTGTCCCCTGTCTGCTCCTCTGTCCGCTGTCTGCTCCTCTGTCCGCTGTCTGCTCCTCTGTCCCCTGTCTGCTCCTCTGTCCGCTGTCTGCTCCTCTGTCCGCTGTCTGCTCCTCTGTCCCCTGTCTGCTCCTCTGTCCCCTGTCTGCTCCTCTGTCCCTGTCTGCTCCTCTGTCCGCTGTCTGCTCCTCTGTCCGCTGTCTGCCCCTCTGTCCGCTGTCTGCTCCTCTGTCCCTGTCTGCTCCTCTGTCCGCTGTCTGCTCCTCTGTCCGCTGTCTGCTCCTCTGTCCCCTGTCTGCTCCTCTGTCCGCTGTCTGCTCCTCTGTCCGCTGTCTGCTCCTCTGTCCCCTGTCTGCTCCTCTGTCCGCTGTCTGCTCCTCTGTCCGCTGTCTGCTCCTCTGTCCCCTGTCTGGACTCTCTGTCCCCTGTCTGCTCCTCTGTCCGCTGTCTGCTCCTCTGTCCGCTGTCTGCCCCTCTGTCCCCTGTCTGCTCCTCTGTCCGCTGTCTGCTCCTCTGTCCCCTGTCTGGACTCTCTGTCCCCTGTCTGCTCCTCTGTCCGCTGTCTGCTCCTCTGTCCGCTGTCTGCTCCTCTGTCCGCTGTCTGCTCCTCTGTCCGCTGTCTGCTCCTCTGTCCCCTG